GGCTTTCTTTATTTCCTAGAAATTCCAAGCAAACTTCTTAAAAGAGCAGTCCAGGATATAACAGTCCATATAATAACTTACGTATCTACTGAGGCCCATTTAAGGTACTACTACACTTTAGAATTTAAAAAAATTTTATTTTTTTTATTGTATTTTTGAACTTCTTATAACTTCAGAAAACACCTCCTAAAGTATTTATAACCAATTGTAAAAAGTAAAAGTAAGTTTTTCAAAAAATATTCAATTAATGTAAAAAGTCATTGACAAATTAAATAAGTCTTTAAGGGGATGGTGGGGTCCAGCTTTTTGTTACGACCACTAGAAACATTGGTGCTAATGTATGTAACGGTCTCTGAAATAAAAAAAATGGTGGGGTTTCAATTTGCAAAAGAATTTTAGGTAATTTATGGATGGCCTCTAACGATACATATAAGTTTAAACGCGTTTTTCTCAAAAGAACGTTTTCTCAAATTGCGGACAGTTTATCTCTGAATCTACTGAACCGATTTTAATAAATAATAAGTCGTTTTGTTTGTTAGCATGTCCTGTGTGTGAATTCACCAGAAAATAGTCAAGAAATTAAAAAAAACATTTTTGCAGATTAGAAAAATTCTGAAAAACATAGTGTATTTTGACAAACATTATTAAAACATCTGCTATTTTTTTATTTTAGTCGATTTTCCATTATTAGTGGTAGATTTCTATGCAAGACATCTTCCTTTTTAAAAAGCAATTTGGATTTTTTGTTTCCGATTTGTCAATCTTGAGATAAACTGTCCGCAATTGGACAACTAATTTTTTGGAGTTTCGATCTGAATGCTGTCTGCAGATTATGGTATTAAATAAAAATTAAAAACAAACCATTATTTTTATTCTTCAAATATGTACTAATATAGGCAAAAAAGTTTTTTAAATATTTATAATAAAAGACCTAAAAAATTTTTTTTTTAAATTTGGTCTTTTAAGAGCCTTCTAAAGTGTAGTAGTACCTTAACACGCCTTCTTTGATTTTAGCGTCAGACAGTTTCGGAAACTTCTCCGCCAAATACTCAAAACATTTACCATTTTTGTCCAAGGCTTTTACAAAACGCCGATACTGAGGTATCCCTCCTCTGCATCGTAAACTTCTTTCCTACTTTTGCCATGAAGGCATAATTTTAACCTAGAAACTTAGCCGAGAACCCCTTGCCCGCCTTCACCACGGGGAGGTGTCCTAGTCGCAAAAATTGAAAAAAAATAAAATAAATAAACACGGAAACTAATTTTACATAGGTCAGCCACTTTTTGAGATTGTAGTATCACAGAAATGCGATTAAATTTTAGTAAAACATTTACAGTAAACCATTTCTAGATTATAAAAAATTCAGATTTAAAATTAGCGACTAGAGGAAACACCTGAGAACCAAGAACCAAGAAAATCTGAGAACAATTTCATCGTAAGTCGTATTGGATACACCATTTGGAATTTTTTTAAACCCAACATCAGATTCGTATTCGGCGACCTTGAAAATTCCCACGGATTTGCAAGTTTCAATCGATTTCATTAATTTAAATATATTTTGTCCGCCATATTGGATCCGCCATATTGAATTTTTATAAACTGACATCAGATTCGTAATCAGCGACCCCGAAAACCCCCGAGTAACGAGATTTAAGTAAATACGAGGAATTTTTGAAAATTTCGTCCGCCACATTGGATCCGACATTTTGAATTTTGAAAATCTGATGTCAGATTCGTAATCAGCGACCCCAAAAACCCCCGAGTTACAAGTTTCAAGGAAATCTGAACAATTTTTTTTAAATCTACCATTTTAGATCCGCCATTTTTTTTATATATATATTTAATTCTTATGTTATTAAAGTCACTGAATTAAAAAAAACATTCAGAAGAAGCAAAAATTCAGCTTTATTTATAGAAATTAAGTAAATTCCCATAAAAATCAGTTACTCAAACTTCACCCCCCCACCAAGCCTGTAAAAAGAGAACACTTTTAGGTCGGACAATGTTTTTCTCTTTAGATACACTTTAAGGAAGAAAACCTACCACATGGCAGTCCTGGCAATCCAAATTTTTGTTTTGTGTGCCGGTGTTATCCAACAACACTCGTACTGCTTATTCAAAAAAAAACCGAACCTTCGTAGAGAACTTTGCTAATCATATATGAAAAATAAAATATAAACCAAAACTTAAACTTCTCTTGGTGGTTGCAAACTCAATTGCGGTTTTCGAGATACATTACAGTTTTCTTAAGGCACTTTTCCTATGTGACGGCCGAAATTTCAGGCTTTTTTCAGGAATTTGTTTTTCACAGAAAATAAAATATAATTCTATAATTTATTTTACATGTTGTAATTGGTGTCTAAAAATATACAAAAAAAATTTTTTTAGTGATTTTTCAAATCATTTAATAATTATTTTTATGAGTCAAAGGTGACTCCTTTGAAAATGCACGGGTGAACGGTCGCAACGATAACTTTCTTTAGTATTGTCTGAAATAAAAAAATCAAACGTAGTTTCATTCAGTAGGCTTACTGTTATCGTGTGAACCTCAATAAACAATTTATCTTAATAAATAACAAAATGTCGGACTGTTAAAAAAAAAAATTTCAAAAATCGCTTGTTTTTTCGTAAGTAATTGTTTAAAAAAAATAGGAAAATGTTTATGTAAAATCATGATCGAGGTTCACACGATAGCCACTCATGTGTAGAATAATGCCTCCAAATTTCAGACCGATCGGTTAAATAGATTTTGAGTAATCCTTGTCACCAGTTAGAAAAATGTGGTTTTGAGAAAAACGCGTTTAAAGTTTTGGTATAGCTGTAGCTCGTGCCCGTGCACTGTTTAATTCTACGCTCTGTAACTTTGTTAGTTTTTCAAATATCTGTCTAAAACTTTTACACGATATTTCTACGATATTGTACTTTCGAAACATGCAAAAAAAAATTCGATTTTTTCAAACCGTCACATAGGAAAAGTGCCTTGAAAAATGTTTTTTATGATAAATTTTAGATATTTGTAATCGTGGAGATTTTTAGATTCTGAATTTATATTCATTTCACTTGAAATGTTAAAATTGCAAAACTTTTGAGCAATAAAAATCAGGTTGGAGACCCGAAGCTCGTAAAATTACAAAAATTAAAATGCTCATAGCCAAAAATGATTTCACTGGAAACTTTGGCACACCAATTTACCATTTTCGTAAAGAAAGTGTAAAAATTGGAATGAGTGACACATTTGTCGTTTATGTCTAGAGATACTGCTAGGACCGATTCGTTTTTTTTAAATCCTAGGCAAATATCTGTGTGAGCTATACAGCTGCACAATCTGAAGATGATCTTGCCCTGCGAGATCCGAATTGGAGAAATGGAACCCAGAATATATATATTCTAGTCTATGGTGTACAAGTCTTTCAAATAGTTTGGAAATGTTGGAGGATAGGAATATGGGTCTGAAACCTTTTCCCTCCGGTTTCGGGATGAAAAGGACCATGTTATCTCTCCAAGATTCAGAAAATATGCTGTGTTTTTAAAAGATTTAAACATTCTATGTGTGGTCCTTTTTTATTTTATTTAATAGGATTTATCAATAGATATGATTGTTTTAATATTGATTGAAACTTGAATGCTGAGAACAAAATTTGCAGACGGGGTGAGCAGAACGTCATTGATCGGCAGTATGTCGGAATCTCAGACAATAGTGTCATCTTGGAGAAGATATCATAGTAGTAACTGTGAAGAGATGATTGTAGGTAGTGATTATTCTAAAAATACTTGGGGAATTGAATGTGATTTCAACGATGTCTGTAAGGTCTTTATCGGGCTTAACACATCTTTTCAAAGAAGGAATGAGAGGTTTGGAAAAGGAATCCATGTTTTCGTAAATTTCTGAGAGTTTAAGTTTTGTATCTATATTTTTGATGAAACCTTTTTTGTAAAATAGAGATATTGGAGGAAATGCAGAGTGTGGAGAGTCGTTATTGTTGTAGTGATCGAGGAATTTATTCGCGTCAGAGAAGACTACGCATGTTATTTTAGTACCTACTGTTTTGTCCGTTTGCAGAAATTGTTAGAGGGCCGGGAGTAATAGTTCTATTTTTTTTGTCAAGTGCGATTAGATTGTAATGACCGATATTGACCGATGGATCTTGGGCAGAATCGTATTAAAGAATTACAAAACATGAGTAAGTCATGGACTGATTATATCTTAGATTTGATTGGGAAAGGATCGGAAAAGGTTGCCATATTAAATAATTGTCATTGTCTGTTAAAATTGTTGAAGATGATTGGCATGAGGAACTTTTGTTTAATTGGGAGTTTCTTGAATTGTGCTCGTTGGAGTTTGACTCATCCTTAGAACTCAGTTGTGACTCCGATTCGCAAATGCGTTTGCGAGAATTTTGAAAAGTTGAGACGTTCCTCGATTTTTCAGACCAGCTAGTGCACCGGACGCTCCTCTTTTTATATTATTAAGTCTGAATTTGTTGTGCCTCGGAAATGGGAACACCAAGATTATAGAGAGTTGTTGTCTTTAAATTTGAAAACTCCGAGGTAGGTGTGGAAGCAGACTCGAGTCGAACGTCCCCAGTTTCCGATGAAGAATGAATCGAAGATAAATTAGGACTGTTTGCCTTTTTTATTATAAATATATATTCTCTCTTTTTAGTTACTAATGTTTTTTTTAATTTTGGTTAGAATTTGAGACAATATAACAAGGATTAATTTAATTTTAATTAGTTTAGTTTAAATTCCTCTCCGGTATGCTGTGTTAGAATGAATGATTTAGATTGTGTTTAAACTAAGTTGTTATTGATTAAGAAATGATTTAAAATATTAAACATTTATAAGAATACGTACCACAAATTTCAAAGTTCGCTATCCAATTTCATAAATAATTAATTAGAATTTGTTTTACCTTATATGAATTAGAGAAGGGATTTAAGGTCAAATTTTGAAAATTCAAATACAAATTAAAAAGAAGTTAAAAAAAACTTGAAAAAAATATTTTTTCACATGTACATTTATTAAACCTCATACATAGGATATCTTTACCAAACGTGCTTACAGCTTCCTAAAGTAATTCTTCGACTTCCAGGAGGACACATTTTCGGAGGTGCCTTAATAATATTAAAAATTCTACTGAAAATACACCCAAGTTGAAAATTTTCAGCAACTACTAAGAATCCTCTACGGAAACAAGCCTTGGATTGTTGACCTAAAGTAGCGCATACATCATTGTAAGGAACAAGACCATCCTCTTTGCATGGATTCTTTTGACATTTTGCTAGTTTTTCACCAGGAACGAGGACCAGATAGTGCGCCGGAGGACAAGGCCCTTGAGAATAAGCCTGATAGCAGGAATCCTTCTCGGCGTAATATAAATATTGATCGAAAGTGCAGTCGCAAATCCAGTTAGTTGAATTTTCACTTTCTTGGAAAAGTGCCATGTTTTCTCGACATGTCTCCAAAGGCTTTTTCAAAAAAATACCTTTTTTAAATTGTATGCTCAATTGTGAATAATTAACCCTTTAATGGACAGTGGTCTAAAACCCAAATCTTGAGGGACAAAAAAGTGATAAAGTTAAATGTGACAAACTTGTTAGATGTTACGACTGGATTAAGCGTGGTAGCAGTTGCATTGATACTAATAGAAATATCTAATATTTATTTTCTTTCAATGATATTTCAGCTGTTCTCTTAAACAGTAAACACATATAACCCTGATGCTTTACAAACAAAATAAAGTTGGATTGTTTTGTTAAAAACTACAATTTTATTACTATTTTGGCCCTGTTTTTTCTTAACAAATATCAAAGAAAGCCCAAGCATTAAGTTTTCGTAACGTATTTACAGTGAATTAAGATACTATCATAAAAATTGCTATAATTTTTTTCTTTTGCATATTTCTTAAAAAATGGTTTGAGTCTATATTTTATGAATTTATGATACTACACGGAAAAAATTCCGGGACATTAGATGCGCCGAGGACAGTGTCAACAGCAGTACATTTCATTTTGCACGTCTGAGGTGCCATTTCGAGATATCAGACGTACATAATGCACGTCAGATACTCCAAAGTGGCACAGATGGCGTGCAAAATAAATGTAGAAGAAAATTTGACACAACCTGTATATCTGACGTGCTGGAACTTTTTCCATGTATACATTATAGTATATTTATGATACTAGGAAGCATTTTAAAACAAAAAAAGAAAAATCGATTTTTTTGAAATCCTCGACCAGAAAGTCTCCTTAAAAACGATTATCACTAATACTTTAAAAAAATCAAATATACTTGAATCTTGCTACTTGGGCATTATTAGGAGTCGCTGGAAACGATTGTAATGTTAGTTTTTAAGAATCCAAAATGGCGGATGCAATATGCAGATCGAAAATTTTAAATATACACTCGAATCTCGCTATAACGAGAAGTTCGGGAGTCAAGTCTCCCTCTATTACGAACGCAAGAGGAGAAATGAAAAATCCCCACTTTTAAGATTCTTCATTCATTTTTTTAGTGTTTACAATTTACATAATGTCAAAATTACAAACGTAACCTAGTTTAATTTGAACTTTAACATACAGAAAATTAATATAAGCTAAAATTTTGAAGATGTTCGACTCATTGATATAATTTCAAATAAGAAGTGACTTTTTATGCTAATTATGATATAAATAAAATTGCTTTTAACCTTTAAACCAACAAAATGTGCATTTGTTTATAAATAGTGGGGGTAATCGGAAGGAAATTTTTTTCGCTATACCGAGAGACAGAGCCCTCGTTATAGAGAGCGTTTATTATAGAAAAGGTCGTTATAGCGAGATTTAAGTGTATAAGGGTAGTTCTACAAACGAAGGACGAAAATGAAGAAAATTTTGGCACAATATTTTTTTTACGTTCAGGTTTTAAAAAGTAGGTTAAATTCAAGTTAAAAATATTATCAAAGTTACCTAAAAGTGGCCAGTCAAAAAAATAAAAATTGTGAATTTTACATCTTAAGCACATGTGAATTCTGTCAGAAAGTGCCAGGAAACTGAGAATTTGGTCATTTTTCGTCTAAAAAATTTAAAAATAACGCTTAATAACAAAATAAAGCATACTGGTCAACAGGGAATAAGGTTCTACGACACCTCGAGCAACAAAAGTATAAAAACATAAAATATTTTTTTTAAAAATACGTGCCAGGAAACTGAGAATTTGTCTGACCAAATGGCCATTTCGGTCACAAAGTACACAATTTTAGTTAATTGAACTGCAAGTTAAATAAGATGCAAGCGATATCATATTTAGTTAACCTTTACTAAGCACTGTGAAAAATGGTGAATTAATCGGAATGAAAATTCTTAATATTTTTAACGTTTTTTATGATGCCAGGAAACTGAGAATTAATTCGATGGACAAAATTCAAGATAATATCTTTTAAATAAAATATCCAGTAATGTAACAATTATTTTAATCTTTGTAAAGTACAACTATTTGAAATTATTATCCGCAAGTGTAAATTTTCATTTAATCGCTTAAAAATAATATTTATATAATTTATTAACTTTCATTTTCACATTGGGACATGCCAGGAAACTGAGAATTTAGCACTTGAATGCTTATTTTTTGCAAAAAATATTTTTTGAAACCGGGTAACATTTTGTGGCATAATAGTAATCATTAAGCACTACAGTTTCCATTGAAAATAATTTTATTTTTTTCAACATTAATGTAAAAAACAACCTTGGACATAATATATTCCCTCATTTGTAGAACTACCCATAATTAGATTTTTCTAAAACTTGTTTCTTGGGGGTATTTGGGATTGCTGAGTGTAAAAATGGTGCCAGTTTTTAAAAATTCAAAATAGAGGATCCTGTATTGTAATTTTTAGTATTATTGTACTTATAAATATTTATGAAGTAGCTAGGAGTTATAATATATTTAATTGTTCACTTAGACTTGGTATTAGTTTTTCAGGGTAATGATATTTATCTTAAGGGTGGTTTTAAGGGGTCAAGCATGTTAAAAAAATGTTATTGTCATATTTATTATTGGATTGATTAATTCTACTATACATTATATCTTTCAAATAATGACAAGAAACTCGTCCATTAAAGAGTTAATTTATACTTTTACCAATTTCATTAAAATATATAAATTTCTTCTTCCTTTTCTTTGCATTAAAATAATCAAGAAAATCTTAATTGTACTCAAAAATATTCATAACTCACCATACTTGAATTGCTTATGCTTTTAAAAACTTGTACATTTTCCGTGTTCAAAATTTTTGCGTTAATGTTACACAAATTAATTAACGAAAATATTTGCATAAAATATAACGATTTCATTGTTTTTGTATGAAAAATGATATTGTACTCAAGCTTTTGTTCGATCTTAACTGTTTGAACTACGATAATGCATTCTCTCTGAGAAAATTTTAAACATATATATGTATATGTATATATACATATATAGATCCCAAGGCAAACCGGTTCAAAATAAAAAGAAATCAGTGATATATATTAAAAATATTAAAAATAGGTACATCAAGTATTTATTTTTAGATATACTGTTCTTCATTTGCATAATTCATTTCAAATATTAATATCTTTCATTGGATAACAATGAATTGAGTATTTACCCTAGATTATGAAATGTCTATTAGAATTCTAATGTTTTATATTGCTTTTAAATAAATGTTTTATCTAGACGGATTATACTAGTAACTCATTTTTATGAACTTTTTATATCGATCTTTTCTATAGACATTATTTTTTACAAATATTTCCAAGCTAATTACTATACTTTCTTGTACCCCTGGAAGACAAGTGAGGTTCAGATGAAATCTTTGAGAAAGCATTTATATACATTTATATTCCTACCCTACTAAAATAGAAATTTTTTTTTTAATTTTACAATAACATTAAAAGAAATTTTTTTAAAAATTTTTTTTATTAATAAATGATTTTAAGTAAATATTAAAGAATTCTTACAAACAAATTATTATTCGAAAGACATTGAAATACACATATATTTTAATGTACATATATTCATTTAAGTTTTTAAGTTTTTTATCTCAAATTTCATAAGGGCTGTGTGCTAAGGGCCTCTTCTGGTAACTCCTGCCCACTGCTTAGGGCCCCCGAAGGTGTAAATCCAGTTCTGCTAATGTTTAAGAAATAACACGGTATTAGTTGAGTAGTTGTTCAAATGTAACACTGTTACTTCTGTAAAAGCTGAGAGTCTACAGCAAGGAAGAAGTGTTGAAAATTATCGAACTTTTTTTTATGATAACTCAGTGGGCAAAAAATACATTCACGTTTAAGAAAGGTTCCTAAAACGTTTCTAGAATATTATTAACGTTTTTAAAATGTTTATTTGGCAGACATGAAACCTTTTAGAAATGTTCCTTGTACCTACGTAAATTTTTTTTGACAACTGGGAAATTGCAATACTAATACAATTTATTATTTAAATATTTGATATAACTATACTAAATTTCACATATAAGCTTTTTTTAAAGTTTAGTATTTTTTATATCAAAATAATATCAAATGCAGATTCCCTTAAAAATTATTATATACTCCAAATCGTGTCCCAAATTCACATATAGGATCCCATGTGTAAATTTTTAGTGGACAGTGCAGGATTTCTCCAGTAGAAGTTATCTTGGCTAATGGTTTTTCATTAGTAAAAAATAAAATAAATTTGTATAAATATTCTTAAATTCAAATAAATGAAATGAAACTACAAGTTTTATTAACATGTATGTTTATTGTAATCGCTAAATACTGTAAGCCTTTGAGAGTCTTCTGCTCTGGGCTTTTTTAGATTATAAAAAATTGTCGATGAAGGCCTATAGATACATGTTAAATTACAATAAAATTATAGTTATATGTATATGTAAATATATATGTTTATATAATGGGATTATCTATTGTTTAATTCCTGTTGTGAAAGTAGAAAATTATGTACTCTTAAAAAAATAAAATAATGATAAAAATGAAGGAAATGAAAAAATATTTTAAGAAGCACTTTAAAAGTTATTTGCATAATTATATCTTACATTTGGAAGAATAATTGTCTGTAGCTTTGGTATTTCAAATTACAATGGATGTAATGCCTTCAATTATTTTCATTGATTATGGACTAATAAAATATTACAGAGTTGTCACTGAGATTACGACAAGCTCATTTAACAATGGGTTTCAATACATCTGCAATATTCAAGTCTTGAGTGAAATCAAGAAGCGTTTTTTAAGAACACTCAACTCTTCTCAATTTTATGTCAAAATCAGCACAGAAGCACGTCTGTGTTCGCCCGCAACAGAAATCATGCCCTCTCCTTTTTCTGTGAATGTAAGTACTCACACAGAGGCTATTCACAAACTTTGTAAGACTTTAAGGGGGTGATTTCCAAAAAATTTCTTACACAGTTTGTGGATGACCCCTTAATTACTGTAAACTTGGAGAAAGACATTTTTTAAAATCTTTGATGTTTAAAATTAAATCAAAGAATAAATACAATTAAACGTGTCGTTTAGAATCGTTTCTTAATTGCAATGGATAGTTCTGATTTATGTTAAAAAAAAATATGCAGATTTTTTAGAGAAACAATGGAAAAATATTTATACTTCGTATTCCCTCTGAACGCCACAAAGTTATGCTTTATCATGAGTTTTTGATAAAAATTGTATCATTGTATCAATGGTTACTAGGACAAGGCATGAGCATACGTGCTCAAGCTATTATGCTTATTGCTGAATCCATTACCTGAATTTATTTTAATACAAACATTAAATTAAAAGAGAAAAACCACTCGCATTATTATTGTACGTTCATCCTTTCTGAAACTTTCCAGTGGATCACGAAAATGGATAAACTTTTTTTAAGTCATTCCTCGCGAGCAAATTTAATTTCTAAAACTTGTCAATTTATTTAGCCATACTGCACGCAATATTACTTTCATATTACTGTGATATTCTTAATATTACAGTGATATCAAGGTGCTGCTTGGGTAAATATATAAATCAAATTATTTAGTGTGGATAACAAATAATTATTTTTATTTCTTCAATATAATAATGAATATTTTTTTAAAATTATTCTTTAATTTTTTTTTAAGAAATGTCAAATTTAATAAAGTTTGACCTTATAACATAAAAATATTATTTATAATATTTTCATTCGAGTAGATAAATTGAACTGTTTAAAACTATTTCCTATTTATAACACGACAGTGGATTTTTGAGATATGCTTGATTCCAAAAGTAAGTTTTCAGAATGGATTACTGTGTGATTATATCGAACATCGCTCCTATTATGCACTTATTTTTATATCGTATACACTCAATCTAACATTCCTTAAATTCCCAAATTTTTCATTCCTCCACAGCACTCGCAGACTTTCATTAAAAGAAGTCAATTTCTCGCAAAATAATCCATAACATTTATGACTTTCATAAAAGATCGAACCACAATTCAATTTTCATAATGCATGCAGCAATTTATATGACCTATTTCATGTGAAGTGATCAAGGTGAAAAAATATTTATAATCTATAGCTTAAACTTGGTGAATTTGGAGAATTATTAGATGTCATTTCTTGGTACAAATATTTTTCCTCTTACACCTATAATTTTTAGAAAGAAGTAATGAAATTCAAGATTTATTAAATTGAAAAATTTAATAACATTACCTTCGACATATTTTTTATGCAGGGTTGCCACAAAAATTTTATTTTATTTTTCCCTGATTTCTAGACAAAATTTTGACTTTTTCCCTGACCCTGAAGAATACTCTGATTCACTTAAAAAATTATTAGATACTCAAAAAAATGGTCTATTACATCTATTTACGAATTTCTGTAATTATAAAATTATTCGAAAACATCAATAACTTCTTTTTTACATAAATATTTAATCATTATTATTTTTCTATGGAAATTAAGATTTTCAAATTCAAACCTTCTAAAATCCAATAATAACTTATCAGAACATTATTATAAAACATGAAGAAATCAATCATTCCGAGTCTTCGACTCGAAGTAATCAATTTCTTCATGTTTTATAATAAATTTAAGATGACAGAGTGATAAAATCATTATTTTATATCATAAGAAGAATATTGTAACTATAAATTCTAATTTACAAAGATTTTAAATTTGAACCTTTTTCAAAATTCAATTATTTCTAGAAATTCACACTATACCTAATGCTTTTAATATTCAATTATAATTTAAAATTTTAAGTGAAATTAATTTTTTAATCAATTTTTATTAGAAAATTTATCGAGAATTCAATTATTTAAATAGAAAAATAATCAATTTATTAAATAATTGTATATTTTTTAAAATTGAATTTTTATGAAGAATTTTATCAAAGTTTTTAAAAATAATTGATAAATTTAAAAAAAAAGCAATTTTCTATCATTTTATTTAAAATTGTATAAATAATAATTGAAATTCTACAGAAGAATTTAAAAAAAAAATTTTTTTAAATAAATGAATTCCTGTGAAAATGTTTACTTTTGAAAAGAATTGAATTCTTGGCAAGAATTTTATTAAAATTTCTTTAATAATTGAATTGCTTCGAAGAATTTTATTTTTTACGAAAATAATTGAATTGTTTTGAAGATTTTTACAAACATTTTTGACAATAATAATTGCATTCCTAGGAAGAATGTTATATTTTACGAAAATAAAAGGTATTCTATGATTACTTTTATTATAATTTTTCAAATTTATAAAGCATTTTATCAAATTTTTTTAAAATGATTGAATTCTCGAGAAAAATTTTATTATTTATGAAAATAATAAATTGATTTCTTGCGAAGAATTTTATTCCAATTTCTTTAAATATTTGAATTCTTAAAAAGAATTCTATTGAAAATAATTGAATTGTATAGGAAAATTTTATTAAAATTGCAATTTTATTAATTAAATCTTGTAAAGAATTTTTTCAAAATTTTTTTTTAAATAATAGAATTTTTAAAAGAATTTTATTTAAATTTTTCGAAATAATTGAATTTCTCAGAACTATTTTTTCCAATTCTCTAAATATATTTGAATTCTATCGAGAAACTTTATTAAAAAATTAAAAATAATTGAATTGGTGTAAAGAAATTTATAAAGAATTAGTAAGTAATTGAATTCCTGTGAAATTTATATTATGTTTAAATAATTGAATTTTTTTGGAAAATTTTATTAAAATAGTATATATTAAAAATAATTGAAATGAGGAAATTTTTGAAACTAATTGAAATTTTGCCAAGAATTTTATTAAATTTTTTGAAAATAATTGAATTTCGGAGCAGAATTTTATTATTTATAAAGTTGTTGTTTTTAATATTTCTATTTAAATTCAGAAAAAATTGATATTTTCTGAAATTTCAAATTGAAACCTTTGAAGTTTATCTATTTATGAAGATTGTAAACGCAACTCTTTTGAAATCCAATTAATTTGGAATTTTTAAGTAAAATTATTAATTAAATAATTTATGAATAATAATTTTATGATAGTTCTTCAAGAATTAAGTTATTTAAAAAGAAATTATTGTCAGAAATAGAAAAAATTGAAGGGTTTCTATTAGAATTTGTATTAGAATTTTCTTATAAATTCTAAAAATTTAATTTTTTCCAGTACTTTTAACAAAAATCCCTGACTTTTCTCTGACTTCCCTGACCTGTGGCAACCCTGTTATGCTTTTTCGATTGGTAATGCGTATTTTTAAAAAAATTTTAACCCTGAAAAATGAACCTAAGAATTCAATTTTTTAGGGGGAAATACATACCTACATGTTTTTTGTTTGAATGAATTCTGAGATTTTTTCATACTTATAAGAACATAATTGTGTATGTTTAAACATTCTAGGCCGATTTCTAAATCTAAATCGAAAAATATTTCTACCAAAATCAGCCCTATTATAAAAGAGAAAAAGAGACACCATTGTCATCGGTTACTTTTGCTCTTCTGCTTTTGGCGACGGCGCACTAAAAAGTAATTGAAATAAAAAAGTCCTTTCTTCACCTTGATAATTTCACACGGAATTGCTCATATATTTGTATTATATATATATATTGATTATATGTATATGCAATCAGAGTAAAATTCAAATTGGCGCATACTTGCAATAAAAAATAAATTACATCTCTGTCACAAATCCGTTTCACTAAAATCTACGTCATGTATTGTTTTCGTCTCTTTCTCTCTCTCCCTTTTCTTCTTTTTCGTTTACGTAATTACTTCTTTTCTATGACTAGAAATATCTTTTCGCGGTTCATTGCCTTGAAAAATAAAGAAAATAAAATGTTAATTAAAAATAATGGGAGTATATGTTTAGAAAAATAATGTATAACCGCACGCTACACGATTGCTTTTTTAAAAAAAGAAAAAATTAGCGCAGTTTACATGAGGGAACTTTCGGTCAATTCTATAGAGGTGATTTCACGCACGGGAGGCTTTATTTTCAATTAAAATTCTAGTGATGGCCGGAGTTCTTTAAAGTGATGTGTATTTTCAAAGTTGATACCAACTGTTTTCAGATCTTCCTTTTTGAGAATTTTTCACTGAAATTCTTTTAAAAGCTCAATTTAAAAAAAAAAAAAGAAATCAACCACAAAATAAAATCGATATTTTGTTTAAAAAGATTGAAATTCTAATAAAATTAATATAGGTATTAGTGCACTTTTTAAACATTTTTATTGTTTAATTAACACAATAAATTAATGTGCGTAAAAAAATAAAAATGAATAAAAATTTTAAGAAATACATTAAACAAATGAGATAAGAAGACTGTAACGCAAGCTTTTTCAGCAGTAATTCTCAGTTTTGGAAATGTGAAATAAACTCGAATTGCCACGAAGTGGAATTGAATATTCTTTGAATAGATGCTTTCCTAATTAGTGTGTTCAACATTTTGAGCCTGTTTCTCAATTTTTCTGGCTAGCTCTGGACTCATGTGCGGGTGTGGAAAAGGCAGAACTGGTTTTCGCAGAATCGCAGGTTTCACCTTTACTTGGGGCTTGAAACTGGAAACTTGACTTCCCCCAGTGAGATGCATGTCGGCAAATTTTGCTGCTATTTTTGGTGTTGATCTCTGAGGAAGAGGGGAACGGAGTGAAATTGTTTCTGAAATTTGGTTCGAACTATTGGATCTGTCGATCAGATTGGAGTTAACTTCAAGTTCAGCTTCCGCTTCCTGTTCAGTGTTCTCCACTTGTTTAAACTTGGAATCCTCCGGAGTGGACTTGGTATTTTTTTTCAAGGTGCACTGATTTTGTTTTGCGAATCGCTCGGCTGCTGTACTCATGTCAGGGGATTCTGGCCCTCCAGTTGGCGAGGTCGCCGCTTCCGCTCTCGCTGGCTGCATCGGAGTTTCCTCGTCGGAACTGCTGAGACTGCTGGACGACGCAGACTTTTTACCGGAGTCCTGCGCTGACAAAGGCAAATCCATCACAAGATCTGGCGTGTGCTTTTGCCTCATTTCCCGGAACTCTTGTGATGTTCGGAAAGACTTTGGCGTTATGGGAGGATTCAGTTGGACATGTGAAGTGGCTCTTCTCTGCCAGAGTTCGCGATTCGCGGAGAAAGTCGTGTGCTCCTGAAGGTCCTGCTCGTGCGAGGAGGAGACGTGAAGGGGATTCATCTGCTGCGGCACTGATTCGCCAACGCTTTGTGATTTCCAATGTTGCTTTCTTGCAGCGCCTCTCTTTGAATCACCGACTGCTATTCTTTCCGCCTCATCGTCACTCTCGTCATTTTGCTTCTGATCGTCGACTAATAGAGAATTTAGAAATGTTCTGTCTTCGTTTTCTATATCGTCTGTAAGTTCATCGTTTTGCTCTCGACGGAGCTTAGATTTTTCACGTTCTGGACTCGTTGACTTGGATATTCTTGTAGGCGTGGCTGACTCCTGAAAATAGGAGAACTTATTACTCTTGAGAAATACTTTAAACTGTCAAAATAAAAATTTCAAAAATGAATTAAGCATTTTTCTCTACTTTATTAAGGTAGTCAACTCAACTGGAATGCAATGCAAAAATTCTAGTTCTTGGAAACTTGCATTATCTTTTAACTCAACTTTTGTTACTTCTCCTCGGTTGGACTTTTAAATTCGTTTAAATTGTGAAACTAAATATTTTCAAAGTCAATAAAAAAATACAAATAAAATAAATAGCCCAATGAAAAATTACCATTACGTATTTACAAATTGACTAATTATTGGTCGCGATAAATTATTTTTCAAACGAAAGATTTCACGTAATCATATGACACCAATTTCTTAATTCAAATAGTTACTTAAAAATTATTTAAATCTTTTTTATTATTTACTTATTAATGTCTGCCAATAATTAGCCAATAATTTTTTTAGTTGTCCCCCATTGGGCAAGTAAATGAATAGTTATAGTAATTATTGTCAGTTCACCCCTCACTTGATAATCAGAAAGCAATCTTCTTGTTTAACGTTCTGAGACTTATTTTTATTGCAATTTCTAATCAAATTTATATTGTTTATACAAGTAATTTAAAAAAACTTGGAAATCTATGTGCCTTCTATAATAAAAGACCAAAAGAGACTGTGCAAAATTATGCAATCTTTTGATAGTTTTGATAATTAATAATAAATAAATAAATTATTTTTGTTGCTAAAGTGTCAGGATTTTTAAAGTTTTCTGGAAAGTAAAAGAAAAAAAAATTTGTTGTACATTTTTCAAATTAAAACTTGTTTTCTAATTATAAAAAAGTGATAAACTGATAAAAATTAGTGACGGTACTGCATGTTTAAGAAATAAAATTTATTGAAAAAAATTAAAGCATTAAGTAAGAAATGAACAATATAATTTAAATACTACTAATATATATTTACATGGATTTTGTTTCTTAAGTAAACAGTGTGTTAAGAGATGTGCAAAATGATTGCTGAGAATAATCTTTTCAATTGAAAGATTGTTTTTTTATAAATTTAGATGCAATATATAATTGAAAATGATGAGCTGAAAAAGAATTAACTAACATTTTAGTTTTCAAATGTTAATTTTGAATACACAATGCTAATAATATTGCATTAAAATATTTTTAGCTTGTTTTTCAATTGCGTCGTTTATTATACACAAATTGTTCACTATTCTGTTAGTAAATAAGTTTTTAAAACAAATTTCTTACATACTATTCATTTTATGTATAATCTTCGCTACAATGACGGGATTAGATAATTTAAGTGTCTTCAAACTTTTTTTTAATATTTTGACAATTAAAATGAATAATTTACTACTTATATTAAAGTCAGAGAAATCAGGGAATTTAGGGAAAAGTAAGGAAAAATGGAATTGGTCAGGAAAATGTCTGGTAATTTTATCAAAAGTACTGTAAAAATATTAAATTTTCAGAAATACCACAAAAATTTTGGATTTTAATGACCAAAAACATTTTTTAAAAATTTGAAAACTTAAAACTCTCCTTGAATTTTTTTTACCTTCAAAACTTTTCATAATCACGATGAAATTTAAAACAATACTTTAATTTTTTTAGTATTTTTGTAAATAATTAAGTGACTAATTCTAGTTCTAGTTTAAAGTTACATCAAGTTAAATTTTGATATGAAAAGTCTCAGTAGTTTATGCAACGTTTACGGAAATAGTACTTAGAAGATGTGACGTAAGCAGTCGTCATTGTCAAAGGAAGAAGAGTTAAAAATTTTAGAGCGATCTCTCATTTAGGAGGATTGTCTGTAATAAAATTTTACTACTTTCACAAGATTAAGGAAGAATAGAACAAACAGTAAAATCAGAACTTTATGCAACTCCATATTTTCATATTTGTAAATTAGAAATTATTAATTTACAATTAAAAAGTGCTTTAGGGGAAGTAGGTACAATTTCATTTTTGATACTTTGGACGATTAAAGTTGCGTAAAGATTTTAAATTTTAGAGATTAAAAAACTTAAAAACTTTTTGAATATGAAATCGCTTAATAATAATAATTTATATATTTTTAATCTTTATTAAATGTCAAGTTCTTAATGCTTTAAAAATATGAAAATATGGGAATGGACTGACTATTAAAAGTCAGTATGATCGACCGTATGTTCGATTCTTTTTTTCGAGAAAACCAAACTGTTTGGTTTTTTTAATTGAAAAATGACTTTAAGAATAAAAAATGTAAGTAAATTATTTTTTTGAAATTGCTAAGTTCGGTGAGAAATTGAGCTATTGACATGCAATGAGAAAGAGTGCGAACGAATTCATGGTAGTGGAAAACGAAAGAAAGATATAAAAAGCGGGCGAAGACATTGAGGCAGAATATTAGTGATAAGAGAGAAACGCAGCTAATGTTTTTGTGGGAATAATGCGAAAGGGTGAGGCGTTTCTTTACTCACCTAAGCCAAAAGAGGATCCGCCGTTAAGTAGGTTCCCTTATGGATTTTCCTTCGGTTTTGTCTATGAACTGATATTGTTCTACGGGAGTCTAGGATTTGCAAACCAATCGAACTGTCAAATATCGACATTCCTTGAACGAAATTAAAAAAATACACACATTCACACACAAACACACAAAAAGGAGCACGAAGAGTTCTTTTTAGTCCGTCGAATTGCAGCCGATTATCAAAAATCGGTTAAGAGTGATGACTAAACGTAAATCTGGAAACACAGCAACCAACCCAAACAATTAAAATTGCAAATATTAACGAAAGACTAAAAGGCAGCACAAGGCAAATTACTTGAAGACACATGCATCAACAGACACGAATAGTTCTATTTATTTACAGAATTATCGTACAAAAAAGTCATAATTACAATCTTTCATGTATCATTATTTTTTTATGAATATCGTTGACAATCGCTCCGCTCGTGCGATTACAGCTAATTTTTAAGCTTTTTTTCTTTAGCTTCCCAGGAGAATATCCTTCTGAAAAAGTGACCATTGTCATTGAAATTTGCTTAATAAAGAGAAAGAGAATTCGAAGTCTAAAGCGCCAGCGCCTTGATTTAAGTAAAGATGTTTCTGAATTTTGCTACAATAATTTTTCACTTTTCAAGTGAGGTAAAAGAATCCCGAAAAATTTGTTACTTTTAAATAAATATTTAAAATTATTCAAATTAGAAACATTAAAAAGAGAAGTATTAGAAATTAAAGAAAGTTATTATTTAAATTTACATTAAATTCGCAACATTTCGTTTAAATTTCATTTTTATATTTGAAAATATTATCTAAGCATTTTTTCTGAAGGATATAAAACTCCATAGCAATATAAAATTTAACGATGCCTCATGTCAGAAACTAATTTCTGTAAAATCGTAAATTTCGCGTTCTTTAATTTGGCATGCCGGTTTTTTTTTCTTGTTTTGAGCAATTAAATCAATAATGTTTATTTTTAATTTCAGTCTTTTCAGCCAAAACGCGGCCAGGGAGTGCAAACTCCGACAAAAACATGCTTTCTTTGCACCGTCGAAGAAAGCATTATAATTAATATGTATTTAAAAAATCTAAGCTGTGCGTGGCAATAAAAGTGCAAGGTGTGCAAAACTATAAAACTCCTATGAATTTTCCTTTGGAATTCATAATTATAAACTTTAATCTCTCTTGCCAAAATTTAGAAAAAAGAGATTTAATGTAAATTTTGCTATGAAATGTCATTAAATATTAAAACGTTTTCTTAATAAAACAAGATGTATACTTTCGTTTAACGGACAAAGTGAAAACAAAACTTTTATATGTTATAAATTAAGAGGTTTTCTTAAATGTTTTTCTTTTAGGTAGTGAAATTAGAAACCTTTGTGACTAACCATAAATCCTTCTTGTTATTGATTAGAAAAAAATATGTTGTGAAATAGAAGAGATTTGTTTAAAGTCTATGTTTAAGAGATTCTACACGCAGTGTACATTTAATCGTAAAAAAACATCAAAAATCAGATTTAATTTACAAGAAGGATTTTGCATTAAATAACTCATATTTATTGCTGTTAAATTTTAAAATTATTATTTTACGTACTGTGTACCAAAATTTAGTCGATCTAAATTAATCAAACTTTTTTCTCAAAGTTTTAAGTACTGAATAAATTTGCAAAAGTTAAATTAAATTTTCTATGCAAATTATCAATATCGAAGATGACAATGGTTGCACTTTCTATTAGAACGCTTCGTAATAATCCTTTTGGTGAATTATTACCAAAATAGAAAATGGATATTTTCATGAAAAAACAATTATTTCAAATGCATAAATACATGTATTTTTTGCACATCGTTGTTTGATCCTTGATAGTCAATAAATGATGTTTTAACAATTTAAAAATAAATGAACAGTACTAAAAACGTCTCTATAAAAATGAAAAAATAACGTATGAAAAATTTGTTCAGCACAAATAAATAACAGTAATAAAAAATGGCCATAGTTACGGTGATTTGTACACTTAGTGTAGAACCACCCATGTCCGTAAAAGTAAAGATCTCTTATTCTAAATTACCTAAATCGTTAAATCTTTCCAACGGCTTCGTGTTTAAGAGAAAAGAAAAACGAAGAAAAAACAGTCAACCAGCCATGCACCTATGCCTAGACTATATTAATAATGAAAAACCAATACTCTCGGTAATTCATAGCAGAGAACATAGAAGGCAGTGAACGTGGAAGTAAAATAATAATAATAATCATAAACGGCTAAGTTAAACGGTTGTTTCCAATACCTCTCGGCTGATGATTGGTTGCGACGACGTGAAGCACGGCACATTGGATATCACTGTTGGTATAATGCCACTGGCATTCGTACTGTCCGAATGCATTGCACTTGAGGCCATGGATGCGTCGGAAGCATCGATTGAATGCCACATGTTTGAATTATTGGTTGGACCCATCAATGGCGAATTGTGACTTGAAACAACATTTTCTCCGGAACTAGACGCCCTTCTCATCGACTCCTCACTTGATGACTTAAACAATTCCTTTTCTCGCTCTTCGTCTCTGAAAAAGATTCAAACTTAATAAATTCGTTGCTGCTATTAATTTCAAAACAATTTATTCGATAATTATTGGTAACAATATCTCTTCAATAAATTTTTGACAAATATTTGTGGACGTCTGTATGAAAAGAGCTCATTGTGGCACTATTTACTTTAAGTGTAAAATCACTTAGTTACAGAATTTCAAAGTTCGGAATGCCAAGAACTTCATTTCGAGATAACGAAATCAAAGATTGAATTACGAGTATTTCTGGTTCTTGAGGCAAGTTATTCAGATGAGAACTCAATAATGTTTTAAGTTTTTTCCCTCCTTCAGTTTGAAAATACAAGAGATTCGACAAAATGGACTCTTCTAAATATGCGATTTTTAATTAATAAACCGGAGTTTTTTACGAAGTTTAAATTAACAATAAATTAATGAAAACTGCATAAGGTAAATAATATTGTGTTTCTACAATAGCTTCAAATGTATATTTGTTATACCGCGGTATAAATGCACACTTATTCGACGTGTAAAACCTTGTAGATTAATAAAAAAATCAAGATTTTTCACAATTTATAAATTGTAATTATTTTAAACACCTTGAAGTTTGAGTATTAAATTAATCGAAAAAAGATTATTTTGAACACGTGTGAAATTAATAAGCCGTCTTTGAAGTCATTTCGTTAACTATTTTTTGAGTTGTAGAGTAAGAAAGAAATAACAAAAATTATCAAATTTTCTCATTTTGGTCTGTTGACTTAGACTTTTTCAAAAATCTAGAAAACTTTAGATAACATTTTTTTAAAAACACAGATATCTTCGTCAGAATTTTATCTTTAAAATAAGTCTTCGAAAATTAAAAAGGTTAATCCGTCTTCGATTTATCATTAAAAATATGAAGCCGTATTGTGGCCGATCGGTGCATTGAAATTCAACTGCGAATGGGAGAAAAACAGGAATGGATTTATGATAGGAAATAATAAATAATGATGTTTCACGAATAATATAAAGAAACTCGAAAGTTCATTGTTCCCCCGCATAAATTCGTCCCTGCTTTCTCTCTCATTCGCTGCCGCGCGAAGCCAGAATCGAGTCGTCACAGTTGAATTTCAATGCAACAAACGGTCGAAACACGGCTTCACATTATTAATGATATATCGAAGACGGATTAACCTTTTTAATGTGTGTGTGTGTTTTTAGAAAAATTTTATCTAAATTTTTCTAGATTTTTGAAAAAGTTGAAGTCAAGGGACAAAAATGAGAAAATTTGATACTTTTTTTTATTTCTTTCTCACTCTACAACTTAAAAAATAATTAACGAAACGACTTCAAAGACGGCTTATTTTACGCAAAATTTAATCAGCTTTCTAACCGTATTTAATTTTTTTTGTATCTCCTTTTATTTCCGAGATATGATTGAAAAAGTCATGGCATGTTTTTTGATAGAGTCGCGTGTAATCGTCCTGATACTCGTGGACGGTAGTGTACATTGTTAAAAATGAAATTTTATTTTAAAATTTTTTAAATCTTATCGTAAATTATTTAAAAACTTTTTAATATTTTTTTAAAACTGCATGTAAAAACAAAAATTTTCATTATAAAAACGTCCAATTTGATCAATTTTTGACCGAGTTATAAGCATTTAAAAAAAATTACGTAAAAACGTTATTTTTCAAAAATCCAGGGATGGCAACCAAAATTTTATCGGTTTCGGTGTCCAGTTTTCTGTATTCTTCTAAAAAAATTCGGTTTCTGTATTTCTGTTACGGTTTTTTTCCAAAGAATTAGTGTTCTTGTATTTGGGTTTCGGTTTTTAATGTGAATATTTACGGTTACGGTTTCTTAAAAATTTCGGTTTTTTGGGTTAAAGGTTTTGGTTTTCGGTTGTTTTCCTCGGACAATGTATAAATGAAAATATTTGTGAGCATTTTAATTATTTATAATAAAATATGTGTACCTATTAATTAATTTTTTTGTGCCAAAAGATTTTAATATTGGTGTACGGAACCCGTCTCAGTTTTACTTTTATATTAAAAACCGAAAAAACGAAATTTTGATTTTGAAATAAAGGGTTTTAAATTTTTATAATACGGGTTTCGGTTTACGGTTTTCTGTTTCAGATAATTTTTTTTCGGTTTTTTAAAAATTTCTGTTTTTTCGGTTATCGGTTTTGGTTGCCATCCCTGCAAAAATCTGTTTCTCCTGAAAGGCTTTATGAAAAAAATTTAAAAAATGAAGGTAGCTCATTTCAAAAATACAATTTAAAATCAATTTCGTAAAAAAGTGTAATTAGTGAAAAAAGCAATTTGGTTATTTAAAACTTACTTTAAAGAAGTTATATAAATTACAACTATGACTTACTTTATTTTGAGCATAATATACTTGTCAGGAATCAGTCCTTCTCTTCCCGCAAGAGCACCTCTCCACCAATCATTGCTCACTTGTGTGAACAAAATTAACGTATCACCTTTCTTAAAACTGAGTTCTCGTTCCGACCTTGCATTAAAGTCAAATTGAGCCACAGCCTCCAAGTTTTCCGACTCTACACCAAAATACAGTTTCCTCTTTAATCTCAATGTGTATAGTAAAAAAAGAATAAGGTTTGTTAAAAAGTTCAGAAAGTAATATGTATTTGATTAGAAAAGCTGCTTACCATCTTCTGAGGGATAAACCTCTGAATCCATATCTTCTTGCACCTGGTCAGTGGGAGAATCTCCAACGTCCCTGTTTTTGATTTATTAAATTAAACATTTTTCAAAATATTATATAATAAATTTAAATAAGTAACAAAAACTTACACGTCATCAGGCTCCCTACTGATATATTTTTCATACTGAATTCCTCCAATATCGTCTGGAAATATTTCTTCGCAAAAAGTTATAATATTCTTGATTAATTCGTTGACTTGATTTTGATATTGAACCTGGTCTTTATCTTCGGGGACAGGAACTAAAGTTGGACCAAAACATATAGCCAAATTGTACGGATCCATCATGTTCTCATCCGAAAATTCGGAAAGACTGCAAGAAAAGAATTAATTTTACAGAAATTTTCGCAACTGCTTTAAAAATAAGTTGAAAATACTCACTGATTCAAAAAAGCAAACAGATATCTCATCACGATAACCACGGGCCTCGGAAGACTGGAGATTAATTCTTTCATCTTGAGCACAAATTCCTGCTTCGATTCGAGTTGCGCTAATTCCATAAGATGCTCAAAGTAGATAATGGGAAATAAAGGTTCTCTGAGTTCTCTGAGGTAAAGCTTTAAAACACCCGCAACGCTGTTGATGTCTGAGGCGTCAGTCACGTCTGCAAGAGGATCGTCTCCTCTTTCAAACCATTCTCTAAAATTGTTAATCTCAATCTGCGACCCAGAGACCCTGAAGATTCCCTGATGATGAAGTCCATAGAGATTTATTACTCTGATGCAGCTTTTCATAATTAGTGGAATTTCTTGATTTGTACTTTCCAAATATTCTTCCAGTGAGCCCCCAAACAACTTTGGCTGTCCATTCATCTGTAAGCGTCCAATTCGTTTCCTACGCGCCTGCTTTTGCTTCGTCGTTCCGATTGAAGGATTCGGACTGGCATTCGAACCTTCCACCAAACTTTGTCGTATGTATTCTTGCTTTGCATCCAGCCTTGCAATTCTCGATGTTCCTAGAAGATATTCTCGAAATTTCTGCAAAGAACAATTATAGTTTTAAATGTATTTAAGAATTAGAAATTCACTATGATGTAAGTATGTATTTTTACCGCGAGATAGAATTCTTCCGTCTCCTGTCTGTCAGCTCTCAACTTTATTTGAAGCGTTTCCGGAGGTTTCCACGTTGGTACTGCGTTTTCACCAAAGTACCTGGAGCAGTCATAGTCTTTGGCAGTCAACATTTCTAACAGACTAGCTTCAGCTGTTTCCAGAGTTTTCCACACTTCCTCAGACTCGGTTCGAAGTGTTGTTACTCTTTGCTGAAGCTGTGACAGGCGTTGTTCCATTTCTGTATGTAGCACCTTTTGTAGTTCCGGTTCAGGTGTCTGCAAATATTTTCCGATAAATTATTATTTAAAATCTTTTAATAAAGTCAATTATTTTTTTAGAATAATTGTTTATTAAATATTTCTTTTTAAGAAAGATTTATCGCTTGCAGCATAGTGTACGATTTTGTCATTTTCTTTGTGAAAACCTAATTTAATGATCCTTAGGTCAAACTAAAGTTAAATAAAATACAGAATAGAAGAAAATAAGGATTTTATGTCGGTAAATGCAAAAATAATGTTAATTCAAAATTGAATTAAATTAGTAGAATATTGCATTCGGAGGAAATTTAGCCTTTACAGGAAGTTTACAAAAAAAATTTCAAGCCAGACAGAAAAATCTAATGAATTTCAAAAATTCTTATGCCTTTAAAAAACACAGATTTTTGAATGAAAATTATTAAAATTGAACAGGTTTATTATAATATTCTGTGGAAGAATGAAAAATTGTTGCAAAATTAACATCAATCTCTAATTACCTCATCACCCCGTTGTCCCTGGAATTCAAACTTCTTTGGAATCATAAAAGCAGCGTGATGAGACTCCAAAAACCTTTGTTTATCAGCTCTAGAGTCCAAAACTCCAACGCAAGCTGCTAATTGCTCGGCTCCAGATTGTAATGAACGTTGCCTCCCTTCCTCTGCACTACAATGCATCAATAATGCTCTCGCGATACAGTTGTGGAAACCAAAATCCATACACTATAAAAAAAAGTCTTTACATGAGAAAATAAGTAAAAAATATATGATACCTAATGATTATTAGGGATTTATTTTAAAATAGAAAATCTTTTTCATTTAGACTTAAAAAGACACAAAGCTTTACATTCCGAAAATGTTTATTGAAATATCAATGCATAAGATAATATTTATGAATTAAAATGTTCTCCACATTAAATTTGTTTGAATTCCAAAGGCTCGAACCAGTGAAAGTATTTAAAAATACGGACTTTATGGACCAAAAATGAAAAATTACTGACAAAAATGTAACCACTCCGAGTCAACTATAACTATAAAGATAACCAAGAGATAAAATCATTATCAATTCAATTATTATTTTCAAGAATTTTTAACTAAAATTCTTTTTTAAATCAATTATTTTAAATAATTTTCGAAAAAGTTCTTTGACAATTTCCAAATACATTTTTTTACAATATTCAATTTTACGAAATGTCAATTATTCGTAAATTCTTCAATTAATATTGTAGGGTCAATTGGGGTAAATGTAAACGGAATATGTATCTTTCACCAAAAACATTAGTTTTTTTGTTAAAAGGTAAAACGGACTGATTTCTTTTGCATGAACTTGTTGCTAGTGTTCCCTAGAAAAATTTTATGAGGTACAAAAAATTATTGAAGCACCTGAATCGCCTAAAACTGACTGGTTTACATTTACCCCGAGATTTTGAAATTTTCCTAAAATTCGGGGTAAATGTAAACACCACTGTAGTTAAGCGAGGTTTAAGAAACAAGTTATTTCAAGTATACTACTGTTTTAAGGGATGGAAAAACTGAAAAAAAATTCTTCGTAGATGTGTAGTAAATCAACCAGTTGACTGATAATTTATCATATAAAATAAACAATTAACCATTACAAAATTAGTAATGTAAAAACTTGAATAACTCGAATAAATTTTAATAGATTTTCATTCAACTTGTTAAAAAGAAGTTTTTAAGGTTGATGAATAAGAATCTAAAATCGAATTTTTAAATTTCAAAATGGTGGATCCAATATGGCGGATGAACCTAAAAATAATATTTTTAAAAATTGATCAAATTTGCTTGAATCTGGCTACTAGGGGGTTTTTGAGGTCGCTGAATACGAATTTGAAGTCAAATTTTAAATTTTCAAAATGGCGGATGAACCTAAAAATATTTTTAAAAATTGATCAAATTTCAAAATTTTTTTTTTTATCAAATTTTTTTTTTTCAAAGAGGACCTAATTTCCTTTTATATATGTAATTTTACATTGCCAAATTAATGAAATTGTGAAATAGAAGCAAATTTATTCAATTACTTTCTTTTAAAATGTAGTTCAAGTTCTGTTTACATTTACCCCGAGTATTCGAATTCTCAGGGTAAATGTAAACACTTAATTATCTATTAACTAAATTGACGAAAATCAAAAATCAAAGTCAATTTTTGTTAGGGCATTAATAAGGAAGAATTACATATTTTTGTTTGATTTTTTAATTTATTTTTATGCAAATGCGAGACAAAATACTATGAAACAGTAAAACTTCGATTTTCAATCTTTTTTGCATTAAAAGATAACTTACACTATGGCATTGCCAATTGTCAAAATAAAATATTGGCAATACTCAGAACATCTTGTAGGTGAGCTGAGGTAAAAATATTGACGTCGTACTTATTTTTAAATTTGTAAATTTAGCTGAAACATCTACTGTTTACATTTACCCCTTGTTTACATTTACCCCAAATGACCCTATATTACAAAATAAAAACATCAAATAATATAAAAAAACCGCAATTAAATTTTCTCACAAAAATCAATTTCAAAATTCAATTATTTCTAAAAATTCACGCTATATTGTTATTAATATTCAATTATTATCTAAAATTTCCCATAAAGAATCGTTATCAACAAATTTTCAAATAATTGAATTCTATCAACAAATTTTAATAAAATTTTTAAAAATAATTATATTTTTCGAGAAATTGGATTAAAATTGTATTAAAAATAATTGAAATTCTGCAATGAGGTTTATTATTCGTGAATATAATTGAATCCCTAAAAAAATGTTATTACTTTTGAACAATATTTCATTTTTGCGAAGAATATTATTTCTCTTGAAAATAATTGTATTTTTGCAATAGTTTGTAACTTACAAAATTGAATTTTTTTTCATGTTTTTAACTACACTGGAGCTTCACTTATTTTCAGTCTCACTTATTTTCAGTCTCACTTATTTTCACCATTTCCAGTCTCACTTATTTTCAGTTAAATGGTTCTCCGTGCGTTCTCATTGGTTGATGTTAAAGAATCCACCAATCAAATCAACTCGAATGTTACGTTTCAGAGTGAAAATAAGTGCGACTTTGCCTTTCAGTTTGTTTGGACTTAGTGAAAATAAGTGAAGCTCCAGTGTATAAACATCTTTTATAAATCCATTATTTTTAATAATTTTTGAAAAAGTTCTTTAAGAATTTTTAAATTCATTTCTTTACAATTCAATTTTATAAAATTTCAATTATTCGTAAATTCTCCAATTAAATATATATTAGAAAATAAAAACTTTAAATAATTTCAAAAAAAAATCTGCAATTAAAGTTTCTCAAAAAAAATTAATTCCACAGAATTGCTAGTTAAAAATATGAAAAATTCAAAATTTCAAAGATTTTAATCTAAAACCTTTTCAAAATTGAATTATTATTTCTAAAAATTAACGCTCTAATGATTCTAAAATTCAATTATAATCTAAAATTTTAACTGACATCCATTTTTAAATCAATGTTTATGAGAAAATTCTACTAGAATTCAATTATTTTAATACAAAAATAACAATTTATAAATAATTGAATCGCCGTAAAAATTTTATTATTTATGAAAATAATTGAATAATTGCGAAGAAATTTATAAAAAAATTTGTAAATAATGAAATTCGTGTGAAATTTTTATTATTTTTTTAAAATAATTAAAAGTTTGTGCAGAATTTTATTAAATTGTTTTTTAAGGGGTTATACTACCCAGGCGCACTGAAAATGAACGTTTCTTTGGAAATTTTTTTCTTGGAAACTATTCTATAGATCAAAATAAAATTCTGAGGCTTTATTATACACGTTTTGAGGTATAGAAAAAAATTTTTATTTATAACTTTTGATACAAAATAGGGCCTTGACTAGCATAAACGGAAAATGAGTTTTTTTAGAAGCGAATCTGCGTACAACATAACATTCTCCGAACAACACCAGGAGCAAAATACAAAATTTGTCGTTAATCTACATTACTTTTGCTAGGAAAGTACACACGATTATTTATTTTTATGAAAAATTTACAAATTGGCAACAGTTTTAACATTTTTAAAAAAATTTTTAACTAAAAATCGACTTTAAATTGTTTATAACAATCTTATTTATTTATGAATTTTAAAAAGCGTGTGTACTTCCTTAGATAATTTATCTAAAAAGTTACAGTTAAAATTTCAAATGAATCCGTCAAAAATTGAGCGAGTTACAGTGTACGCAGTTTTGAAAAATGTAGTTTTGAGAGAAATGCATTTGCAGGATGCATTTACTAAGTATATGACATATTGAAAATAGCGACTTAACAATTTTTTTACTTTTACTTTGATATTCCAGCACCATATAACCACTGCTTTATATTTTGTATTATAATTAAAATGATTTGTATACTCCCAAAGATTATCAACAAACTATAAAATATTTAAAATTTTAAATTATCATGTAAAAAGTAGTTTAATGAATTTTTGTCGACAAAATAGTATTTACATGTCATTCTTGGATAGTCTATGTACCATTTAATACAATAAAAAAATTGAAAAAAAAGTAAAATAAAAAAAAATAAATAAAAAAAAAATAAATAATTAAAAAAAAAAATAATTCTTATTAATTAATAATAAATAATATTAATATAATAAATATATATATTAATATTATTTTTATTCTTATTAATTCTTATTCTTATTCTTCTTAATTATTCTTTTGGAAATTTTTTTGGAAATAGTAGATATTGAAAATTATTGAATTGAGGAAAATAATTGAATTTCGGAGAAGAATTTAATTATTTCTAAAAATAATTGAAATTTTGATGAGAATTTAAAAAAATTTTTTAACATAATGGAATTTCTGCAATCATTTGTAATTTCAATAAAATTATCCAAATTATATCGTACAATTTACGAACTATTCATCCTTTTCGAATCAAATTGCAGACTTTACGGACTTTTTTTCAAAAAAACGGACTTTTACGGACTTCAAGCAAAGTTACGGACTTTTACGAGATTTACGGACCTAGTTCAAGCCCTGGAATTCCTATGGCTTCGGAATTAATAAGGTTGAATTTCTGTTTTGCTGTATCCTACAAAGTAGAATTTTCATTTTTTAAATTCTTGAAATCTTATTCAGGTAACTCATCTCATTTAATTTAGCTCATATTTGAATTCTAAAGAAAATTTTAAAAAATCATAAAGAAATTAAAATGTAAATCAAAATTATAATTATTTATTTTCTTGAAGCCGAAAACAGTCTATAAATAAAATAACTATAACAAACCTAAATTGACTTTGGCGATGGTCTGACAAAATGGATATTCTTCTCTTTAAAAAAAAAATAATGAAATTGAACATTTAAATTAACAATAAATTAAATGAAAACTTCATAATTCAATATTTCTTAATATTAAGATTGTTCACCGAAATTACTAAAAAATTGCGATTGTCTCGAAAACTAGAAGCAACGAAATAGAAACCTTTTTATACGGACACCACGAATACGTATATTTGGTTTTAAAAGAATCATTTTATATAAAACATTTAAAAGGATTATAATGTTGTCTATTTTATGTTTATAATGAAGAAAATTTAAGTTATATTTTTTATAACAAATTTTTTCATTTCAAAGAAAACTTAAAAGTCAATTTTTTGAAATTAAACAGTGACTAATATCTTTGTAAACAGTAGCTTATCAAACTATTTAACCACTTTGCGATATGCGTTAAAGAATTTCTCAAAATACTTGAATTTTTAAATAAATTCTTAAAAAAAATAATTGTCTTTAAAAGTGAAATTTATTTTTAAACATAACATTAATATGCAAACTAACTTAAAGTGAAAACTTTAATAAAGAAATAAAATTATTTTAAAAAATTAAGTTAAATAAGTATAAAAAACTTAATTCACGTTTGGGAATCATCAAGTAGTACTTGGTAACTGTTATGTACATTGTCGTAAATCCTAATCTGAAGCTAATTACAGAAATACGACTTTTCTTTGTAATACTAGCTTATTTTTCAACTGACCTCAATCAAACTTTGTAGATGACTGACAAACCATGAAAAACTTGTTTAAGTATCATTTAGCGTTCATATTTTTCAAGTTGAAAATATAGCCAACGCAAAAGAGATAATAATAATAAATAATAATATTTTTTTAGCGAAAATAACAATTTTTTTAGAGAAATTACTCCTACTAACTGCTAGTGATAAATTATAAAAAAACTAGTATAATTTTTTAACGATTATGTTAAAATGCTTTGTTTTTGTCAATATTTTTGTTAGGTTACACAAGAATTTCAAAGAGTAAACATTTTTCATAAAAATTTATAAAATTTTAATTTTTAAATACTTTTACAGCTCCACAATTGCAAGTGAAAGTGGATTGAAAATTTATTTTTATAAATTATAATATATAGGTATTTTTGATACGTTTTAGAAAAATTAGACAATAAATTAACTTTTTTTCGCCAAAAATAATTACAGACTTTGCACTCGATAATTAATTTTAAAAAAGTATCTTTCAAACTAAAAAAAGTAGCTATCGAAAAATTAAACTTGACGACCAAAAAAACTCTTTTTAGACTTTTCACAAAACTGACAAGAATTCCATTCCATATTTTTTATTTTCCTGACTTTTTCCTAATTGTCATCAAAAATATTTACTTCTTTCTTATCCTGCTAATAAATTAAATTCCTGCAACGAATTTTATTATTCATGAAAAAATCTAAATATTTATAAACACAATTTAATTCTTGCAAAGAATTATATAAAAAATTTTAAATTATTTATTTATTTCGACTAATTTTATGCAAATTCCAATTTAAATAATTGAATTCCTGAGAAATTTTTATTATTCAGGAAAAGAATTGAATTCTAAAGAAGATTTTTACAAAAAAATTTTTAAATAAATGAATTCTGTTTGGAAATTTTATAAAAATAGTAGATAATAAAAATCATTGAATTGCGAAAAGTATTTAAAAATAATTAAATTTTACAAAGAATTCTATTAAAATTTTTGAGAATATAATTGAATGTCTGTGTGTCATTTTATTAAATTTTTTTGAAAATAATTGAATTTCCAAGACGAAAATTTATTACTTTTAAAAATAATTGAATTCTTGTCATGAATGCTGTTATTTATGAAAATAATTGAATTATTGCGAAATATGTTATTAAAATGTTTAAAAAGAATTGTATTTTTGTGACAAATTTTGTTATTCATTAAAATAATTGCATTCTTCATCAGAATTTTATTTGAGAAAATAATTGAATTTTTCGAATAATTAATTAGAAATAGTATTTAAAAATAATTTATATTCTTCCATGAGTTTTATTATTATTAATGAAAATAATATTGAATATTTCAAAGAATTTTATTATAATGCCTGAAAATAATTGAATTTTCGGGAATAATTTTGTTATTTATCTACATAATTAAATTCCTTCCAAGAATTATTTATGTAAATAATTGAATTCTTTGGAAGAGTTTTATTAAAATCTTAAAGAACAATTATTGAATTATTTCAAAAAAATTTAATTAAAATTGTATTAAAAATAATTGATTTCTTTCGAACAATTTTATTAAAATATTTGAAAATAATTAAACTCCTGTGAAAAATTCTAATATTTTTGTAAATAATTGAATTCTTCCAAAGAATTTTGAAAAAAATATTTTTTTACATAATTGATTTTTTCGAGGAATTGAAATTAAATTTTTAAGTTACATTTTTTGAGCAATTCCTGTAAAACTGTATTAAAAAATAATTAAAATCCCGTGATGAATTTTATTATATATAAAAATAATTGAATAGTTGATAACAATTTTAATAAAATTTTCAAAAATAATTGAATTCCTGAGAAGAACTTCATTATTAATGAAAATAATTGAATTATTGCGATAAATTTTATTAAAATGTTAAAAAAGAATTTAATTTCTGTGAAAATTTTCGTTATTTTCGAAAATAACTGAATTCTTTATAAGAATTTTATAAACATTGTTTTAAATAATTAATTTTTTCGAAATATAATAAATATTATGAAAATTTTATTTGAAATAATTGAATTCTTGTGGAAAACTTTATTTGTGAAAATAATTGAATTTTTTTATTAATTAATTTTAAATATAGTATTAAAAATAATTGAAATTCTTCGATGAGTTTTATTATTTATGAAAATAATTGAATTCTTGCTTAGAATTTGCTCAAAAATTTTTCTAAAAAATTGAATTTCTATAAAAAATGTTTTTATTAGAGAAAATAATTGAATTATTGTGAAGAATTGTATACAAATTTTGTTAAATAATTGATTTTTTCGAAATTTTTTAGAAAATGCTATTTTAAATTACTTGAATTCCTGTGGAAATTTTATTATTTATGAAAATAATTTAATTTCGGATGAATTTTATCAATTTTTTTTAAATAATTGAATTATTTTGCGAAATTTTATGAAAATACTAGATATTGAAAATAAATGAATTTTGAATATTTTTTGAAAATAATTGAATCGTTTTAAAGAATTTGATTATAATTTTTGAGAATTGTTTTTTTATTTCTAGTATTAGCGAATTTATAGTATAGTGGAAATTTGAAAAAATAACAGATATAGTAGCTTTTAGTGGCTAAAATCTAAAAAAGCACCCAAATAGTAGCATAACTAAAAAAAGTATAGTAAATAGTAGGTTTTAGTAGATGAGTGCGAAGCCTGTAATTATTATATTTGAAATTGCGTAGTTTGTCGCGGATGTATTTTATTACGGAGAGTAATGAAATTATTCTCGTTTCGTGCGCTCTGTGTTTTCTCACGGTATACCAAATAAATTCTTCTTTGTAAAGCAAGCGTGGATTATTAGAACTTAAGATAACGGCTTTTAGAAATAGCGATACGCGAATTGATTCTTTATAACGTTTAGTTAAAAAATTATTTTCTTTTTCAATTAAATGAAAAGAAATGAAACTCTACAGTTTTTTTTATATTAAAACTTAATGCATTCGAGAATGTTGATAGGATATCGAAATGTCAATATTTTAAAAATACTTCCTTTATTAATATAGGATAGAAAATTTATTTTTTAGATAAAATTAGTTTGTCAGGATGCTTATTCTAGATTGGAAATCGGGAATGTTGGCTGTGAAGAAGGAAAAGTATAAAGAAAGCACTTACATCGATGAGGTCGGACAGATCGTCGACAAAGTACTTGTGTATCGTCGTATTGGAAGCTTCAAGACAGAGAATGTACTCGTTTCTGGCCTTCAGTGCCTTCAACTTTGCTTCAGTGTACTTGCTCTTTCTCTGAAAAAAGATCAAACGATTCAAATATCTTGTAATTTTAAAGCCATTAATCAAACATTTCATTTATGTTTATATATATGTATTCTGTTGATTCAGTTAAAATGTCTTTTTTAATGATCATATGAAGCAAAACTCTGACCAGATTGTAAATTTTAATCGTGCACAGATCATTCTTAATATTAAACTTTTTTTCTAAATTAAAATTTAAATTAACATTTTATTTTTAAATATAAACAGAATAATGTAAAAAAATTTAATTTTAATTTCGTGCTTCAGCTCGAAAGTGATAAATCTAGTCATATTATAGTGGATTATAATTTTCTTTTTATTTGATAAATAATAAAGTAACATTTTTTTAAAGTACCTAATTTTTATTTAAGTTTTACGGACTTTGGATCGATAATAAATTCCAAGTTTTTATAAAATTCAATTGTTTTGAAATAATTGTTCCATATTTTTTTGCAACTAAAATACTTCTCTCAATCAATTATTTTGTATTATTTATTATTATTTATTATTTTAGAAAAATTTTGATAATTCGAAAATTTTCAATATTTTTTAAACATCCAATTAATTTCATAACAATTTGAATTAAAATTTCTCAAAAACCTGATTTTCCTTTTTTGGAATTTTAAATTAAAATTATTCAAAAGGTTTTAAAAATTTCAATTTTGATAAGGTATCTTTTGATTTTCAATTATTTCTAGTAATTTCTTTTTTAATTCTTTTAATATATTAATATTTTATAGAATTCTATTTTTAACTAAAATTCTTCTCTAAATCAATTAATTATTTTTAATAATTTTGAAAAAGTTATTTCGCAATTCGAAAATTTCTCATTTAAATATAGGATAAGTGCGGGTATAGTCGGACAGTACTAGTAGTCGGACACTTTCGTGTTTTTTGTCAAATAAATACCTAATAATGCATTGTGATAATTACTTTAAAGTATATACTATTTTCATAGTGTTATTTTGCAAAATAATTAAACAAATATTTTATTTAATATTTTAAAAATCATGGTGTCCGACTATAGATGTAACCATTTTCGAGTAGCGCAATGACTAGCACAAAGTTTTGTTGACAATTAATAATAAATATTAAAACTTATAGGATTGTTTTGACAAGTCAAATCATGCGGTTTTCGTTAATTTATCGATAATTTAATTGTTTGATTTCATTGGTTCTTTAGAAAAATGAAAAGGGCCCATTTTGTCGGTCATTTGCAAAAGTAATCCGTATTTTAAAAATGGAGGTGTGGAAAAATTTAAAACCTCTTGATTTTTCATCTTTAAGGTGTCCTGGACTGTAAACAATTCTTATCTGAATAACTTTCCAGAAGAACCAGAGATATTGATGTTAGAGTCTTTTTTTTCGTAATTGTCGAAATGAAAATTTGGATATTGCGTCAATTTTTTCATAATAGAGACTGTCAAAAAATTTTAAATAAGTTTAATATCTATTCTTTTTTTTGCAAATGACACAATAAAATTGTACCTTATAAAAAAATGGTTTTTTAATAGAAAAACTGTCCTTTTTAGAAAAGGGCCCATATTGTAGGTTTTTCGTATTTTCAAAATTAAGAGGGGGGGGGGGATGTTTTTAAAAATTTAAAACCTGTTGGTTTTTTATCTTCAAGGTGCCCTGAACTGGAAACAATTCTTATCTGAATAACTTCCAAGAAGAACCAGAGATACAACAATTAGTTGGTTTTGCAATCTTTAATTCCGTTTTTCTCGAAATGAGGTTTGTGGCGTTCTAAACTTTGAAATTCCGTAACTCAGCGAATTTTTAACCAAAAAAGTTCTAAGACCACTCAAAATTTTCCAAATTTTGCCAGGATTACGCCCATATAGATAACTCCAATAGTGCCAAAATGGGCCCTTTTCATGTGGACGTCCACATATTATTAGCTTCTAATAAGCTTTAATTCAATTTTCCATCAGGAAGCTATTAAAAAATTATCTTTTTTATACTTCATAAATCCAAAATATGTGACAGATGTCCGACTATAGAAAAAAGGGAAAAAAGTGTCCGACTACTAAAGCTTTCGTTATTTTTCATTAAAATGCTTGTATTTTATTAAATACTTGAGTATTTGTAACAAATTTATATGGTTTTTAATCTTGAAAAACTCCTTTAATCGATAATGCGGTTAAAAAACAAGTAGCTACTTGTTATTTCAAGAAAAAAAGCATAATATAAGATCGTATTCTTAAGTGTCCGACTACTAGTGCAATTGTACGTAAAGAAACACATTTAAACTATTATTAATTTAATTATTTAAGAACAAAAATTGCTTAGCGCTGTGAATTTACTTCTTTCATTATAATTGTCGAATTTTCTATTTCAAAGGCTAGGCGGCTAAACCTGAATCGCACCGTAACTGGTACTTTATCCTACATTAAAAAATTCTACTATTTTAAAAAAAATTTGATTTTTAATTTTTTTAAAAAAATATTAAAAACTAATTTGTTTAAATTGATATAATTTCACTTTTTATAGCCTGTTTTTGCTCTAAAACACTTGCAAAAAACGTGATAGCCACTTTGCAGTTAAAGATTTTACTATAATTGTTTTACTCACTATGAAAATCGAAATAAGTTGCATTTTACATTTATATACCAAAGAAGTTGTTTTTTCTTGTAATATGTGGAAGAAAAGTCGATTATTTTTATTAAACTTGATATATATTTATTTTATTAAATTTTATTATTTCATTTTATTAAAATAAATCGAAAAATATGAATTTTTAATTCATATTTTTTGATTCGAGTCTCTATTACTGAAATAAAATACGGATATCGGATTCGTTGTCACACATAAATTTGATTTTAAAACACAATTTTTAATCTCTATGAAATCGTGAATTATTGTAATCGTAATATTATCAAGAGGAAAAATCATGTTTGGAGTTGATGACTCAGAACCCCAAAAAATATAGAGTGAAACAAGTGGTGAGGGTACATGCATAAAACGTCTCTAATTTCATTAATTGACGGCAAATCGATTGCAAAGGGTGCGCAGGATCAGTTGACGCATCAAAACTTGTAATTTATTTATAATGCATTTCAATACCTTAAAATATCAACTCTATTTAAGAGCTTAAAAATATGAATTTATAAATAATCTAATAAATATTCACTTTTAAAGAAGAGGAAAAAAAATGAAGCACAAAATAGTTAAACAAAATTAAACTGAAAATGTTAGTAGTGAAATATGTTTTCCTGTTGGTAAATGTAGACTTGACGTACCTTGTTGACTTCCTTCTCAATAAGTTTGTACTTTTTGCTACGAACGAGTTTTTCAGGGGGCGCATTTGCCACTTCTAATTTATTTCTTTGCTGTTCTGCAACACGCAGCTTGGTTTCTGCTTGCCTCGATTCTGCCTGATAAGCTTGGTATGTCTTCATAGTCGTATGCAGCTCATGCAAAACTCGCAAAATTTCTTCATGTGTTTCATAACCAATCTCTCGACACTGAAGTAAAGAAAGGTCAAGAAACTTTTAATATTTCTTTGCATTTTAAAGTAACAATTGTTTACGATAGATTATTTAAATATTTTTTGCTTAAGGTATGAGAGAATTCAAATAGAAAATGTCAGTTGAATTTCATAAAACTGTTTGCCACGAATATTTTGCCATGATCAGGATGCTTACTCGCTTGTAAATGCGCTGAACGTCCTCCATTACTTGATTTAATCTTCCCACTAGATGCGTACTGTACACTTCGGAGAGGGCAGCGTGATCTCTACTCAGAGATTTGGTTTCGTTGACAAGTTGTTGCCAGCACGCGTAACTAGAAAAAAGGGGCCACTGCTCGCGCCTGAAACAATAATGTGTTGTTCAGAAACCGTCAACATTTTAATAATTATCATTTTTTTATACTTGTATAGAATATATTAATTTGTCAATATTTCATCTTTTAAAAACAAATTAAATTTTTTATAAGTGTAAAACATGAAGAAATCGATAACTCCGAGTCTTCGACTCGGAGTGATCGATTTCTTCATGTTTTATAATAATTAAAAATAACCAAGAGATAAAATCATTATCAAACAGTTATTATTTTTAACAATTTTTAACTAAAATTCTTCTTCAAATCAATTTTACGACATTTCAATTATTCGTAAATTCTTCAATTAAATATATATTAGAAAATAAAAACTTCAAATAATATAAAAACATTCAATTAACATATTTCAAAAAAAAAAAATTAATTTCAAAATTCAATTAGGATTTATCAAAATTCCAGCTATATTGCTTTAAGTACTCAATTATTATCTAAAATTTTAACTGAAATTAACTTTTAAATACATTTTTATTAGAATTCAATTATTTAAATACAAAAATAAATAATGTATTGAATTATTGAATGTTTCTTAAATTCTCATAAAGAATTTTACCAACAAATTTTTAAGAATAATTACATTTTTCGAGGAATTCGATTTAAATTAATTTTTACCACTTAAATAAATAAAAATTGTATTAAAAATAATTGAAACTCTTTTATTATTCTTATTATTTATGAAAATAATTGAATTCCTAAAAAGAAATTTATTATATACGAAAATGTTATAAGTAAATGGCGCGTATTCCCTTATAGTATGCAGCCCCTCAATTGAAACCCAGTAAAAATTTTATTATTTATGAAAATAAAAAAAAACTGAATTATTGCGAAGAAATTTATAAAAAATTTGTAAATAATTGAATTCCTGTAAAATGTTTATTATTTTATGAAAATAATTAAAAAAATTTTAAATAATTAGATTCTTTTGGAAAAATTTTATTAAAATAGTAGATATTGAAAAACATTGAAATGAGGAACATTTTTGAAAATAATTAAAATTTTTGAAAATAATAGAATTTTGGAGAAGAATTTTATTATTTATAAAGATTTGAATATAATTGAATTTCTGTGAAGAATTTTATTATACTTTTGAAAATAATTGATACTTTATATACTTTATACTTTCAATATTTTTAATTACATATTTCCGAAAATTCAAATACATACAAAAAATAATAACATTTTAGAATTATTTTTAACATTTTGGAGAAAGAAATCATATTCAAAATTTTTAATTAAAATTCATCAAAAAATTAATTAGTTTATTTAAATTATGAAAAAATTCTTTTAAGAAATTTAATTATTTTCGAAACATTACATATTTTTCAAATTTAATTCTTAGAATTGTTTTATCATAATCTTTTAAGATTCAGTTATCTTAGAACAAAGTGAATAAAAATTTATAAAAATTTACTTTTTCAGACTTATTAACATTTCGGAGAAATCATGGTCATATTTATAATTAAAATTCTTTTAACATTTGTTGATTTTTATTTATATTTTTCAAAAATTCATTTATTTTCAAAATTAATAAAATTCTTTGAAATTCAATTATTTTCAAAAAATCTATAAAAAATTGTCAACATTTCAATTATCTTTATTAAATAAATATCAAAATTCTTCGAGAAAATTCAATTATTTCCAGAAATTTTAATAAAATTCATTGTAAAATTCAATTATTTTCAAAAAATCTATAAAAAATTGTCAACATTTCAATTATCTTTATTAAATAAATATCAAAATTCTTCGAGAAAATTCAATTATTTCCAGAAATTTTAATAAAATTCATTGTAAAATTCAATTATTTTCAAAAAATCTATAAAAAATTGTCAACATTTCAATTATCTTTATTAAATAAATATCAAAATTCTTCGAGAAAATTCAATTATTTCCAGAAATTTTAATAAAATTCATTGTAAAATTCAATTATTTTCATAAATAATAGTATTCATCAAAAGAATTCAATTATTTTCAAAAATTTTTTTTAATTCAATGATTTTCAATATTCTACTTTTTTATTGAAATTTCCCAAAACAATTAAATTATTAGGGGAGAGTGGGGCAAACCGGACCGGTGGGTAAACCGGACCCCCCTCAATATTTCCGAAATGGCGAAATTGGAAAAAGTGTTGTTTACAAATTTAAAACAACCATGTTTAGTATACCTTATTTTTTCAATCTGACAGTTTTAGCTTGCGTTTGTGCGACGAAGGGAGCAAAAGTTTTTTTTTAGTTTTTTTCTACACTTTTACGAATTTTTTCTTAAGGAAATTCTGAGGAAATCGTGTAATGTTTCCAAATATTAGGTCTTAGGTTTTGAAGGTACACACCTCAGGAATATTTACCACCAAAAACTTTGATGAATTTGCAAAGCGTTTCTTTTTGACAAACATTTATTCTCAAAATGGGCCTGTGGGGCAAACCGGACCGTTTTCGGTGGGGCAAACCGGCCATAGGATATTTCCATTAAATTAAAGTTTCATAAAAATTATTTTTAAATAAAATGTTTCTTTCATTAAAATATTTACTTACAATGAAAAATAATTGTCTTCCAATGAGAATTGGACCCTTTAATATTGTTTCTCTGATAATGACAAACATTTTTATTTTTTTATTAAAAAAAATATTTATTTAATTAAAATTCAATCCCGTATTATTATTTTCATTACTACAACCATTGTTTACATGATTCTTTATGTTTTTTATTATTGTAGATTATGTAAATGCAATATTATAAATAAAAAACCAAACGGTCCGGTTTGCCCATGGGGGGTCCGGTTTACCCCAGGGGGTGGGGCAAACCGGACCGTTTGCAAAATTTTTTAAAGTTAACACAGCAACTAAACAATAAAAGATAAAGTATAGGTGTCTCTGGAAAAAAGTTGCGCAATTAAATGATCTTTCAAACAAGCCATCGAAAAATGAAATCGGTTGATTCGTTTAGTCACAAGAGTCAAAAAACCGTTAGGGGGTCCGGTTTGCCCCACTCTCCCCTAAACAAAAATTTTCATAAAATTCTACACGAAGATTCAATAATTGAGCCTCCCAATTCAAGAACTCGCACGACGCGCGGATAAACGCGCTGATGCTAGTCAAACCTTCAAAAAAGTCAAAAAATTAAAATTCGATTTTTCAAAAAAATCAAATGTTTTAAAATTTTGCATAAAATTCTTCGCAAGTAATTCAATTATTTTCCTAAATAATAAATTTAATTATTCAAAAATTTGTTGAAAAAATTCTCTATAATATTTCAATTTTAAAAAACATTCAATTATTCAATAAATTATCTATATGTTTATATTTAAATAATTTAATTCCCGAAGAATTTTCTAATAAAAATTGATTTAAAAAATTAATTTCAGTTAACGTTTTAGATAATAGTTGAATTTTTGAGAAGTTAGGTACTACTAATAATTGCAATTTTTAGAAATAATTGAATTTTGTAAAGGTTTCAAATTAAAATCTTTGAAAATCTTAATTTTTCATACAGTTAAATTAAAAATTCTATGGAACTAATTTTCTTCAAAAAGCTTAATCGAAATTTTTTAAAATTATTTCAAATTTTTATTTTCCAATGTGTATTTAATTGAATAATTTCAGAATAATCGAAATTTCACGTAAAATTGAATTGTAAACAAATGGATTTGAAAATTCTTAAAAAGAACTTTTTCAAAAATTATTAAAAATAATAATTGATTTAAAGAAGAATTTTATTTCAACATTGTAGAAAATAATTATTGAATTAAATGATGAAAATAATTTTCAAGTATAGTTACAGTAATAATATTCTTATAATAAATTTAATTTAATAAAAAAAAAATTTTTATTTAATAATAAATTAAAATAATGCTTTAATCACTTGGTTATCTTTAATTATTATAAAACATGAATGAAATGATTAATTTCTTCATGTTTTACAATAATATTTTTATCAGTTATTGAATTTCAAAAATTTTGAATTTTGAATTTTTGAAAATCATACTTCGTATGGAAAAATTATAATGATTAAATATTTATTTAAAAATGAAGTTATTGCAGTTCTTGAATAATTTTACAATTAATACAATCCTAATACAGAAACCTGCTCTTTCTGAAAAATATTCTCGAAATTAATTAATAATTTCAAAATTATCAAATTAATTAATTATTAATTAATTTCGAGAATATTTTTCAGAAAGAGCAGGTTTCTGTATTGGGACACCTGTGTTGTCGATACACGGAAAAAAGTACGTGAATCCTTCCTTGACAGTGCTTGACTTTTGGATAGGACACAAAATACAAGGCTGTTGCATATACTTTTTATTAGAAAATATAAGAAAGTCCTAGAATTATTCTAGTACTAGTATGGGCCATACTGTAATCATAAAAACACTTTAAGAAAACGTTTTATAAATCATTCAATATTAATTTTGAAAGTTATTTTCTTTAAAATTCTTTGCTCATGTTTCGTAAACCTACTTCTGTTTTTGTTCCTTATGCCTCAGCTGTATACTCCTGGCCATTTTTTCTAACGATTTACTATAATCAAGTTCCAACTCAGCCCTTCTCCTAAAGAAGTCCTGCAGTTCCGCCACCAATGCAACCTGTGCCTCCATTCGAACGTCCAAACATTTCAACTGCTCGTTCAACTGCAACCTTATGTCTGCAAAAGAAATAAAATTTATATGCGTAAATATTTTTGTAAGAGATTCAGTTTTTATTACAGTTTTAAAAAATAATTTAATAATAATTACAAAAAAAAGTATCAGTACTGGGATAATAAGAGAGTTAGCAATAAATTTTTTCTAGATCAAATTCATTTAATATTTTGCAAAGGACAGAGACTCAGTTTTCAACTTAATTTTTTGTAAATCTTTGATTTTTTAGTCTAATGAAAGAAAAACATTTATCATTATTTTACAAGAGGCATTCATGGCTCAAGGATTTGACTCAAAAGCTTTGAATAACTTTTCTGTTCCTGTCATATAAGTTGAAGTTAGTTGAATTGCAGAGAGTTAAAAGGTTGTAATTGAATTCAGTGATGTACACAAATAAATAATTCCAACAGAGAGTAACATAACATGAAGAAGACAGAGAAAACAGAAGATAGATGCAAATTGATATGCAGCGCCACTGCTGTAGTAACTTCCTTCCTGTTCAAATTAAAATAATCACTATTCCCTCATCATTACAACGATTTATTTTTGTTCATACCAATAGAGCAGCCATGTGGATAAAACACAGTCATAAAAAACTTTATCAACAATAAAATACTTTTAGGTTCAATGGAACATGTATAAATAGGAGGAAATTCAATGTGTTAGTGACTTTTTCCTGTAATATTAAGTAAAGGGGATTTTTCAAATTAAAAGAAAAAACCGCGGCCAAATGGTACTACCTTATTAACGTTTATTTTAAGTGCTTCCTTATAAGGATCTTATTGAACAGAGTTATATCATATATCTTTAAGGAAATGTTGTCAACATTGATGCAAGTTTCGGTGCTGTTTAATAATTGGTTGTGTAGTGATGTATGTTGTTCTAATAGGTGTCATTTGTTTTATCGTTTCCTTTCATAAAAGAAGAGAGAATATATACATACAAGAGAATTGACCATCTCAACATTAAACATATTTATGTTTAATATTCAGATGGTCAATTCTCTTATATGTCAGATTTGTTAAATAACAATTCTGTTACATGTCAGGTTGTCGATAAGGGCTGTTTTCGACACTCACCCAGGGTTAGCCCCGAGTTAACGATTATCCAATCATCCATAACATTCTGTTGGATCTAACCAGTCACCACTAACCCGGAGTTAATTTCGGGGTGAATGCCGAAAACAGCCATATTGTCCTGTTAAAGGACATTTTGGTTGTTTGTCAGTTAGAAAATATTAATGCGACCCCATCCACTCGCCTTTTGACAATCCCTCTCATTATTAATTTCATAACTTCATTTTTACTTCCCATTTTTTATTATTTAATTTATCAGATGTTCAGAAGAACTAATTATTCAATTAATTCAAATAATAATTGAGTCATGCAAATTATTATTAATAATAATTCAATTGTCATACACATCGTACATTCAGCGACCTTTCTCCACTACTAAATCTCTAAAAACTCGTCGACTTTTTCTTGGAAAAATTTCTACCAAAATCGTAAAATATTTCTAAAACTCCATAAAATATTTATTCAAATATAAAACTAAAAATTTTTACTTCAATGTACATGAATGTTATGTGAATTTTGTGTTTATAATGAAGCAAACAGACCGTGTTTTGAGAGAAAATCTCGCATAGCTGTATTTTTTAATTCTAGTCTATTTTTGAATCAACTTGAAGCCCTTTTCTGAATTGATTAGAGCACAATCCTGATGCAACACACATTCATTTGATTAGCATTCAGATGTCTTGCTTATGGGTTACGTTGTAGTCTATTTTGGAAAGAGCAAGGCAAAATCCACAATTCAATTTAAAAAGTGATGCTAGACTATTAAGAATGAACATTTTTGTATTTACCAATTGTATTTATCAAAAGTCTTAAAATAATGGTTGAAAATTCATGAATATGTACATGAGTCTTTTACTGAATATAATTGTATTTAATCAAATATACTAAAATAAAATTTTACACTATTTCGTATCAAATAATTTATGGGGTCGCTTATTACAAATATGAAGTAAATCTATATAACAATTCAAAACGACGCAACCAATATGGAGGATACAAAAATTGAAAATTTATCGTACTTTAATGAACTACGTTATTTAATTAAATCTATTTGGGTTCGATGTTGAAGTAGTGTTCGATTTGACTTCGGATTTATAATATTGTCTGTTTCCCGTATCGTTTTAATGTCGGAAGAGTGTCGAATTGTGGTAAACTCAGACATACTATCGATGTTGGAAGAACATTAAAAATCTGTAGGGTGTAATTTTACATTTCGTCCTGCTTCCGACACCAAATTGGTACTGAATGCCAACGTCGATTCGACATCAGTATGTTGGCATCTAACGTCGATCGACATTATTTCGACAACGGGACCCAACCTGGGAATCTATAATCTAATCTAAAACTATTAATTATAAGAAGTGGTATAAAATTCCATACAAGAGAATTTGTTTAAATGATTATGTTTAATTACATTTAAGTTTTATACTATATTGTATGTTATGAATTCTATTTTATCCGAATCAATACATAGCATCATGACTACACTTTTGATTTTTGTTTCATTCCGCAAAAAACCAAAAGGACTTAAATTGGACGTTTATTATATTCATATGAATCAAACGCAGATATTACTTCCATTTTTTTTCTGGCTCAGAATGATCATATTCACGTTTTTCTCATGTAGATTCATGTTTGATTCTCAATCAGAATTAAATTAAATTCGTGGTCTAATTCTAAAAAACGATACCAAAATTTGAAATGAAAAGAAAATTGGACTTTTGTAAGAGTCCCTATTTCTTTTTCTTTGTGTAAAAAAGTGTCATCATTTATAAGGGAAAAATATTGTTGATTTAATAACATATATTTTTCTCAGTATTCACATAACGAAGTTACACTAAGTCCCTTAAGTTTATAGTTCGACGTTTTATGATGTTTTTTTATAGAAAAAGGGTGGAGTCACATGTTTTTCTGATGGTAACGTAAAATATAAAAAAGCAAAATTTTATTTCTTATTTTCCTTGCCATGCTCTACTAAACTTCATTTCCTTTGTAGTCTCTGAAAGCAGGCTTGTTTAATATACAATATGTATACTTACAGGAAAATATGAACCTATATTTATAAATTCAACCAAGAAATTTCTCTTTAAAATATTTTAACTAATCAACTGTTTAAGCACTTTTGTATTCTTTTTACACAGAATAATTCTTCATGTATTTTAAAATATTTGTGTCCAACTTAACGTGGCAATGGTTGCAACTAGCAAAATGATAATGGTTCGCCAACCATTGGCGACGATGGTTGACCCGACAATTACTTATCTCAAAAGTCAGCCCAACTTTATATAAATAGTAATGCCAACCAAAAACTCAAAAACTCTTGCAGCCAACCTACATTTTTAAGGCCTTTGCCTGGTCTAGTGTCTGGTCCACATTAGCTCTGATAACCGAGGTTCAACTGTATTAAAATTATTTTCAATTTCGAACACAATTTTTTTCATGTGGTTATTATAAAGGCAAAAATGAGTATATACACTTCGGAATCATATTAATGTTTTTGTTGTGTTATATATCTATTTATTAAAATAGATATTTGAACATTATGTCTTTGGTTTCATAAAAATCAGAAAAGTGGTTTACTCATGGAGCGGGTCTACCTATATGGAGACATTCCTCTAGTAATAAAATTTTTAATACAAAAAAAATTTTTCGTAAAAAGCTAATTTTTTAGCTAACAAACAAGTAAGTGCGCTTCTTAAAAATATGAATGCGATATTTTTGGGCGAGAGTGTAATTCGAATCTCTGCGAAGAGCGTCATTGTAACCGTGTGTTTTTCTTCACGTTGCTGTAGACAAAAAAGTTGAGCTCTCTAAGACCAAATGTCTGTCTGTTCCTGCTTTATATATATATTTTAATAACAGCTCAGTCGCTCCCTAATTTTAAAAACTGTGAAAATACGTTTGTAGAGCTGAATATTACATGTGGCTTATTAAAAGTAGTTCGTAAAATTTCAGTAATAATTACATTCTTCGTGAATTATATTATGTATGAAAATTCCTTTCTGAAATATTATGCAATATGAATTTATTAGTGTAAAATTTATATTAAATTTATATTATGTTAAATATGTGAACTGCGAAAATAATTTTTCAGTGAAAGGTTGTGAATTTTATATTGACAATAATACACGTAAAAATATGCTTACTTATATATCTCACGATACATATTTGGTTTTCGAGCAATGAAGGAGCTCGACCTCACAGCAATTTTTGCTGATATGGAACATGTAAATATTTTCAGACATTCTCTGCAGACGGCGCCGACGATCCGCGTTTAACGGAAGCAGCACAAAACTATTTCTTTTTTCTCTAAAATGCGACTTCATTGAAAAAAACTTTATAGATATAGTAAGTAAAAAAAATATTTTGTTGTACGTATTATATTATAAATTAATTTATAACAAAGTAGGTATATTTTATCTATCATCATTTAGTTACACTAAAAACAATAACTATTTCAAAACCACAATCACTTCATAACTAAAAGTTAAAAAAAATTGTATAAATTTTTCCAATCGATACAAATGTAGTAATAATAATTCTCATAATGCACATGATATATTCACGATACCGACACTTGTAATTGTAATTCTGTTTTCTCAATTTGCATTATACTAAATTTTAAATTAGCTCATGAATTTTTTGAGACGAGAAAATAATTTTTTGAATTCAAATAAATTATTTTTTAGTATGAAACAAATTCATGCTTTGTGTTGATCAAATTATATTTATTAACTATAATATCATATTCTCAATTCAAAACGTTATTGGGGATTTAAAATTGCAATGCGATACATAGTGACCATAACGTGAACTAAAAAAAATGGCTACTGTGGGTGTACAAGGTTGCAAAAAATGTTAATATTTAAAGTATTCTAATGTTTAAGAAATATTTGTTAAGATTGTTGGTCATTATTTATCTTTTTATT